TGGTGAATTCAGCTAGTGAAGTATGATTTAAGCCTCATCAAGCAACTGAATGATGTTTGAATGAATAGAGAGGCTTATAAAAATATCTGTTTCCTAGTTCAAGCAGCAATCTTCACTGTCTTCTGGGCATGTCTGAAAGACTCAGCTGTATCTCAGTTTCAAAAGAAAAAGTCGGCCAAGTGCTGTGACGGCTTGACACAGCCCCTCACTGTTTGCTCCTTTGTGTCATTAATTCCAGCTTAACCAGTGCCCTGGATTCAGTGCATGCTATGAGGAGAAAGAGCCAAGTTTCTCCTCTGACCTAGATGAAGAAAAGCTATTTTCAGGTTACTAACTTGCACTTCTCTTGTGTTCTGCATAACGTAAGGTAGACCTGTTGACGCTGCCTTTTATTGCCTTGTGGGATGATGCGCAGAAATGTTCTCAGAGGCTGAGGTCACAACTGGTCTAGACGTTGGAAAAAAAAAAAAAAGGAAAAAGGAAACGTCAGCGTCCCCATTGGTTTACTGAACCACTGAGTACCAGAGTCAGGCTCCCTCCTGTTGCTGTGGTTGCTCTGTGTGACACCTTCACTCACCATGAGACCTTGTAGTGGCAGTTCAGAGCCCTAGATTCAACACGTGGTGCAAAGCAAGGTGCTGGGATAACCCAGCTCCAGGCAGGCTGTTAGCAAAAGAGCTTGCTAATACCTTGGGCTGACAGCAGCAAGTTTGAAAGAAAGTACAGAAGCCATATTGAGCTTTAGGCATCTTCATGAAGATCTCCCGGATCATGGGCATGCATAGAAAGACACCTAAATTGTGGTGCTCTGGAAGAAGAGAAGTAGACCCAGATCAGGCAACACTTGAGAACATGTGTGCAGCTTCCTTGGTTTGGTAGTCAGGGAGCTTGAACTCTGGGAAAGGATGCAGCTAGCAATTTTATGCAGTGAATGTTCTTTCCAGGTCTGCCACTTGAACAAATGCATTTAAAATCTAACTCAGCCTAGTGACCATGTCCGCCATTCTCTGCTTTCAAGGGAGATCAGAGCACAGAGATAACACAGGGTCAGGTTGCACATTTTCCTGGTTCGTTGGTTACACATTTCTAAGAGCATGACTGACTCCTCTCCCCAGCTGCCAAGTTATTTGCAGGCATAATAAATGTTAAAATGGTTACTAGCTGAGTTTGAGTGAACTTGTCTTTTTTTGGGTAGAACGATTAAGAAACCCCACCACGATACTGCTGGCAAAAATATTCTCACAGATGCTACGCACAGCACTGCAAAGAAAGCCACACGGATAGTTGGAGCAAGCTGGAAAGAATACACTTTTCATTGCAATGCTGGAAATGGCTGTGTCGTTCTCTCCCACGCACTCTCTTCATATAACCCCTTGTTTGGGAGTCTAATGAGCTGCTTGTATACACAAAGCAATAATTTCCAGTAGTTCTAACACTCAACAGCCTCACAACAGTCAATGAACATTAGCTAGTTAATAAGCAATTTGCCCCCTGAAGTCAAGGAAGCACGCAAGTTGTGACAGCAAGGAGGGCTGAGGAAGAGAGACGGAGGAAGAAGTGAAGCTGGCAGCAGTGGTGGAAACAGTAGCGGAGTCTGACCCAGCACCAACCATGCGCTTCACATATTACCATGGTATTTCTTTGGGCTAGAGTAATGCACAACCTGGTAATGAACAGGGCTGAGGATAAGCAAGACGACTGAGTATATGTTTTATTGTGTATTTAAACTGACAATGGATTTTTTTTAATAAAAAAGTACCCCAGTGAAGCATGCATAATGTTGTAAGCACGTGTATCTTCAAAAGAAAGACAAAATAGGCTTCACAGCTGTAGGAGAGAAACAGAATTGGGGGAATTGATGAGTTCCCCCAAATTAATATCTTAACATTAGGCATTATT